CGACGAAGACGAAGGTCATGACCCAAGACACCCCCCACACCTGCTTCCCCCGCCTGCACATCCACACCCCCCAGCTCCGCGTTCAGCTCCTGTACGGGATCCGGATGACGCTAAACCACGTGCCGCTGCGCGCGAACGCAAGAGTAGCCTCCCCTTATCCGCCAAAGCCCTCATGGATCCGAACGTGCCACAGAGTGCGGCAGACGTCGACATGAGCCCGAAGACGATTTTGCGCGAGCTCCAGGCTATCAGTGCGGCGCTGGAGCGTATTGACCCAGACATTGTTGCCCAGGAGATAACGCGGGTTGAGAAGGAGCTCTTCATTCGGATCAAGGTGTGTCCCTGCACGATGTCATCATGTTGATATTGGGGTTAATGAATGGATGCTAGCCCCGACACTGGTTACAACATGCGCTGACGTCGGGAAAGAAAGAGCCCGACCGGGATACCATAGCCTGCTTCAGCGAGGTCTCATACCACATCGCGGACTGGGTGACATCGCTCATTCTCTGCCATGACAAGCCGCGGCTCCGGGCGAGGCAGATTGAACGTCTGGTCGAGATTGCGGCGCGTCTGAGGTATTATAACAACTACTCCGCCCTTCGCGCATTCGTTGCCGCCATCCATACCGCGACGCATCCGGGAGATGCGGTCATGGATGATTTCCAACGACGTGCACCTGGGTTGTACAAGACGTTTCAAAGTTGGGAGCTGTTGCTGAAAAGCGCGGGGTCACATCGGGCATACCGTATGGCGCTGAAGAACACCAAGGGTGCATGCATACCCGCCGTGTGCGTTCTTATGTCTTCTGTGCTTCCTGCGTAACTGATCCCTACCTCTAGTGAGGTCCACGTTCTCGACCTGATCCGCGCACAGGAAGGCAACAAAGACTGGCACCAAGAAGACGCTAATAAAGTCCACTGGGCCAAGTTCAGTATGATGGGCCGCTTCATCCTCGCCACAGCCGAGCAGCAAGCACGATGCCGCGATCTTCCTGACTATGCCTTCCGTGACGGTCGCGAACACGCACATGTGCGGTCATTGCTTATGCGCGAGTGTCTGATGGATCCAGACATGCAGCGTGCGAGGAAGGAGCTCACGCTTGATGCGATGGTCGAAGAAGACAGTGGTACTGGCGGTACCATACGACCTCCTCAACAACCCGCCCAACGTGACCGCGATGTCGGCCTCATCAAGCGTTTAATTTCGACTATGCGATAGTTCCAAATGCAGATGCACGACACTTCAAGCTTGCATCTTATCCATCCCTTCTGGTGTGAATATCCTCACCACCGATCCATCCCCCGCTCCACGCTCCTTCCGTTCAGTGTGAATACCTCACTTAGGCTTTGTCTACTCTGCGCTCGCTGCTTCATTCCATTCTGGACACGCACACACCACTCACGCATATCTATGGATGGGCAGTCTGCTTGTTGTACGTTGGACATCACCATTTCCTGCCCGCAGCCGGACATTTCTACGCCGTTCGTAAAGCTCTTTGCACCTCATTACCCTACCTCTGCTTGGCAGCCCAGCTACCCTCTTGATATTCACGTCACACATCTCAAATTTCCACTCCACGCATTATTTCCATCACCCTCTGTTCACTATATCAACAGCTGCGGCTGCGGGCTCTGACCTCATTCATCCGATTTTATTAACCGATCTGCCTCTATTCTCTTTGCCTACGTTGCCCTACATTATATCCTCGTCGTTCATACTTGGTTCATTCCTTCTCCCTGCTCTGACTTGAGTTCATCGCCTCGTCATCACATTATACTCCTATGTACCCGTTTGCGGTTCGACACCTGACGTGTGCTTTTAGCGACTCGCTTGTCTCGCGCACAAACGCAAGGACGACATTGTCAAGCTCCTCAGCCCAAGACTACCGTAGTGCTTCAGGTCACGAACGAGATGTGCTTCAACCGAAACCCTCTCTCAATAAACACCGACAGTTACCGCGGTCATATGACTTCTTCTTGCGGCGTGCGTGATCGTGCGATTCGCGTCCCGTCTGGCACATGGCTCAACCCTCGCTTGGCTTCGGCCACCACGTACACTTCCATCAGACACCTAGCTTCCTCATGGCCCCCAAGGGTTCCGCTCGCTCAACCGGCAAGTGCAAGAGCAGCGACGCTACTCCCACTGAAGGTCATGGTGCGCATCGTAGAGCCTGTTTGTACTATCCAGTTGTCTGACAGATGATATACGACCAGGGAAGGCCAAGAAGCGGAAGGGAGATAAAGTCACAATCAACGCCACGGCTAGCTCAACTTCGGCCTCTAACAAAGTTTCGATCGCGCGGTGGCGAAGGTACGCCGCTCGAATTTCTTGTTTTGTGTGTGACCTGACGTCTCGCAGCTCCACTGACATCCAGACGAAAGCTCTCTCTGTACCTAAGATGCGCCTTGTTGTTAACACAGAGTGGTGCGGCGAGAAGTATTATGTGCCAACGCGCGAACGGCTCGAGGAGCAATACGAAGGGTATCTGGATATGTATGTCAAAGAACGTATCTTGACTCTCGTGCGGCATGACCACTTGGACTCTCTAAGCGACATCGATGACTGCGACCTTGATGAGATTGACCCAGAGGGAGATATGCAGAGATTCAAGACGGTGGGTCGACTTCGCTCGTCGGGCCTCAATGTCGACATTTGCCACCGACACAGGAGTACACCATCTCCATCAAGACCAATGATGGGGAGCACATCGGCGAAGTCAAACTGCTTGCGGTTGATTTGACGAATTCCGATGATTACGCGGACTTTTGGACCTGCTGGGAGACACAGAAACCCGTATGTGTCCCTCCTCGTCCACCCCATGTGACCTACTCACGTCTTGTAGGATCTCACTGAGTTTGGTACTTTGTTTGACGGTGACAACGACGATCGGAGTCTCATCCGATACAATTAGGATGGTACCGAGAAGGTGCACGAAACCGAAGGTCGCGGACCCCCCTTGAGCGCCAAGGTTGCAGCGGCAGGCACTAAATGCTGGGATATCTGTGAGTTCACTATGGTCCAACCGCTGATTTTTGCTCTCAACATGACTATAAGCCCCAAATGGAAGGGAATGGGGATTGGTAGCTAGGTATATGCCTAGCTTCCTACACTGAAGATACGCGGGGCTAGGTACTTCTTCGCAAAGCCTAGTCCTTTGGGAAGCTCTCCTCTCGTCGACACCCCAGGCTATGCTGATTGGATCAAACACGAGCGGCGCATTCTCGCGTTTCATCGTCGGGTAAGGCCGTTCATTGATATACGGTACTCATGCGATGGCTAAGAACTACGCATCACAGGTTGGCTATCGTCGTGTCGGCACCTCGCAGTACTTTGCGTTAGCGCTCAACTGCACACACCCATCGCGCACTATCAAGCCGGAAGCCGACGCAGATTACGTTTCTGAAACCCCTAGAGGGAAAAGCGGGCGAGGAGTATGGGTCTCCGTCTGAGCGACGCCGTAAACAGGGTTAAACGTTGAAGCTTGGCATAGTGCTTGATCTTTGATTTCGCCACCACACATCCATTACTATACCTCATCATGACAATTCAGTACCAGAACTCCCGATCTTTTAATATATTACGTACCATTCTACTTCAGTTAGGCTAGGGTATACTTCCTACTGTCGATTCACCTCACAACAGCTGCCAGCGAGGTCTACGTGGTCAGTCTCAGTGCCGTCTCTGAGAGGTGATTACCCTATCCGAGTGATTCTAGATAATACCTTTGCTACTCATCAACAATTTGAAGGTATAGCCTCTCCACACACGTTCCATCACTGCGGCCACAGTGTTTGTGAGTTCGAACACTGCACCTGCTCACACGTTCACGAGTTGATTTCGTTGAATCGCGATCATGTGACTTTCGGGATTGACCGTGGGAACGGCAACCAAGCGTTTCTCCGGCCCTGACGACGGAATATGGGCTGACAACCATCCTTGCGTTCTCTCTATTCTTGTCTTCATGGCAAAGTCAGAAGGATCATCGAAACCAGCAGCGCTGCTCTTCGCTGGGTCGCCGGCCGTGCTGGCCACGGCCACGGCCACGCGAGCCTCGTCCGGTCGCGCGTCCAGCAAACGCAAGAACGATGATACCGGGGATAACGAGACGAATGGCCCGTGGCTTCTTCTGTGCAATTATAGCAGTACTTATGTTGCATTTTCTGATAGGGACTGCTAAGAAGTTGAAGACGGAGACGCGTCCAGCCAGAGCGAAGCCCTCCTCTGGAGCTGTTGGACAGTGGACAAAGAAGTGCGTTATACCTTGCCGGATGTCCTCCGCACTCGCACTTACCATGCCATGTCATGCGCTGAAAATAGAGGGCCCGTTGAAATACAGCTCAAGCTTGTGCGAACGAGCGGCGGCGAAGACGAGTATCGTGATGCGCACGAGAAGATATTTAGGGACAGGATGGACGAATACGACGAAGACGAAGATTATGAAGGATATTACGAGGCCAAGCAGGACCTCTACGCCTTTCAAGACGGTCGCTTGGACACGGATTATGATGACCCAGAGATGGAGTCGATACAATACAGATCGGCGAGTTCAAGAGTTGCGATAGCTGCAATATCCCTCGCTGATCTACGAGAAGGAATATCATGTCGCCGTCGAGACCGCAGAAGGCGAAGATGTCGGACACGTCAAATTTCTCGTGGCCGATTTGACCGACGCCGAGTTTCATCATTTCTGGGCCGTATTCGAATGCCACTCTCCTGTACGTATTGCGCACGTGACAGCCATGTAAGCGTTGACTAATGGGCATGGACAGGCCGTCAGTCGCTTCTTGAGCGTCTTCGCGGAAGATGACCCCGCCTATAGCGGCTTCTATGACGGCGGACACTCGGAGGGGCCCCTCCTCAAGGTTGACGTCCAGGCAGCAGGAACAAAGTGCTGGAGCCGTCATGAGTTTACTGCTTACAGGAAGGACCCGCTAGTTTATATCCTCGAATTCGTGGTCAAGGACAAATGGCAGGGTCAAGGCGTCGGCAGTCAGATCTACGAGGCGTTGAGCTCTCTGGAGCCCGTTCGCCGCGCAAAGTACTTCTTCGCAATGCCGGGTCCTTTGGAGCCCATGCCCAAGAGTCAGGGTGTGAAGCAATGGGTGGAGCGTGGCCGCCGTATCCGGGCTTTCCACCGTCAGGTATGCAGCTCCGTATCCAGTCACAGCCCATGCGCTCAACCATTGCCGTAAAAGGTTGGCTTCCGTCGCGTCGGAAACTCGCACTTCTTTGCGCGGGCGGTGGATACTAAACACCCGTCGCGGGCGATCAAGCCTGGGGAAGACGCGGGATACGTCCCAGTTGGTGAGATGCCCGAGGTCAAACGCAAGGCAACCATGTATGCGTTTGCTTGAGTCTGCCAGAATCATTTGTACTCTTGTTTCTACGTGTAGATGCAGTTTATGTCGTGTTACCATGTAATGGGCGTGGACGACTCGAATGCTAATATGTAACGCGCATGAGGCCTGAAATGACATTGCGGGACAGCAGGACAAGGTGTATATGACCGTGCATGCAATATGCACCGTCGTAACTTGCGGGTGCAGGAAATGCACGGGGTGCGTTTGTCAACATGGAGGTAACGGAGAAGGCGCGTCCCAAAATAGGGGCACGAACGTCCACGGCCGCTACTCACGGGGCTCGGTCATGACCTGCTCAAATACCACCAGTGCGCGCTTCGCGATGTCCCGTGAATCCTTCCGGTCTCTGCCCTGCTCCTTGTGCCGGCTGGTGTGCCTATGATGCTGCGCTCTGCTTTCAAGTCCAGGACGCGGGTCTTGACTACTGCTACTATGTCTGCTCCTGCCTCCAGTCTTGCGCGAGGGCGTGCAGCGTTACTCGAAAAGCGGCCCGACGATGTTGTCATAGCGTTCGCGGCGCGTACGGCGATGGGTCGCGCGAAGAAAGGCCAGTTGAAGGACGTGCCCGTTGACGAGCTGCTCAGAGGCTTGTTCAAGGTCAGAGCGTTGTTTCCCCACACCCGAGGGCGCGAGCTGAGATTCGGTCGCAGGCTACGCTCGACAAGACGGACCTCGATCCGGCAAAGATCCAAGATATATGTGTCGGTACGTTACGGTTTCGCTTGAACTGTGATGTTGTGCCGAACCAAGCTCAGGAACGTGCCACCCACCATCGCCGCTCTACGTCTCGCGCGCAGCCGCACTCGCGGCGGGTATCCCGGCCAGTGTGCCCATATCGACAGTGAATCGGCTCTGCTCGTCCGGCCTGATGTCCATTCGCGCGATTGCGCAGTCTATCCAGGCTGGCGAGATCTCGCTTGGCGTGGCCGTTGGGGCTGAGAGCATGTCGCTCAAGTGCGTTTCGCCCGTAGAGTCGTCGGAAGGCCGCGTCTGAATCTGAATGTAGCCCGCGTCCTACACCCGAGATTGTGGATGCGGTATCCGCGAATACGCAAGCACACGATTGTATCCAGGCACGCCCCAATCACCTTTATTCCTGCTATTGGAAGCCTGATAAATGCCATAGCCTATGGGGTGGACATCGGAAATGGTTGCACAAACATACAAAGTCCCCAGGCAAAAGCAGGACGAATACGCGCTCATCTCACACACTCGCGCCATCGAAGTAGGTGCCATCTTCCTTCGATGTCAGTCGCGATTGGCGATGCTGACTGCGTCATAGCAACTCAAGTCGCATGCGTACGCCGACGAGATCCTACCTATCGAGATTCGAGGTCAGATGGTGAATGTCGATGATACTGTGCGACCTGGCGTCTCAGCAGAAGGTTTGGCAACGCTCAAGCCAGTCTTCCCGCAATGGGGCGAGGGTTCAACCACTGCTGGTAACGCGAGTGGAGTCGGCGACGGCGCCGCGTTATGTATCCTTGCGTCGCGTGAGCGTGCGGAGAAGGAAGGGCTCGAGGTCATTGGTAAATACGTTGGCGCGGCTGTCGTCGGCGTCGAGCCGAGATACATGGGAATTGCGCCCGTATACGCCGTGCCGAAGGTGCTCGAGGCGTACGGGCTCAGTAAAGAAGACATCGACGTATATGAGGTCGGCCGCTTTATCATGGACGCAGTTAGTAGTGATCGCTGATAACCCTTTCCCCAGATCAACGAAGCGTTTGCGTCGCAGTTCGCGTACTGCGTCGAGACTCTACAAGTACCTATGGAGAAGATTAACCCGCGCGGTGGCTCCATCGCACTCACTCATCCTTTAGGTATGACTGGCGTACGGCAAGTCGTGACCGGTCTCGCAGAGCTGCGTCAACGCGACGAGCGAATTCTGCTGACGAGCATGTGCGTCGGATCTGGCATGGGAGCCGCTGGGCTTTTCGTGAATGAAGCCGGGTCGAGTTCGGATTCCTCCAAGTTGTAATCGTCACAGTGTGCGATCGTGGCGTACAGACTAGCTAGTACAATACAGGGTATGACTGAATGCAGAGACTGCCGAGTCAAGAGCGTAAGATTGCTCCCCTTGAGCGTAATGAATAAGCCGGGGAGCTGGTGTGACCGAGATGAAGAGAAACATCGAAAGAATAGGTGGACTTCAATAACTATCGCCCTCACCCCCTTCCTTGCAGAACCCCTTTTGTTCATATAGCACCTTTGCCTTTGCCTCCTCTTGTACACGCTTCTCCGCTGCTTCCTGCCGGTGGTGTTCATCGAGCAACGCGAAGTCGGCCTGTTGCAGTGGCACGTCATCTTCCAGATCAAGGTCCTGCCAAATATATGAGGACGAGAATCAGAGCTCTCAGCGTCTATCGACCTACAATCTCGCCTAGCAGTACAACATTCTCCCCTCTGATTAGGAACAGGCCACATCGCTGTTCAGCAAGAGTGTTTCCGGAATATATTCGCTCGACGGTATCTTCGAGCACGAGGTTGGCTGCATGAGGACTCAGCGGGGAGCATGTTTGTAGAGGGTTATGAACGCGTACCAAACTGATCGTAAGAGCGTAGGACGCCATGTAACTTGCGGCCGTCGCGTAAGACGACGAGCATCTTCCCTAGAGAGCGCAGGGTGGGCGGCGAAGAGGTAAAGGCGGGATCATGATGGGCGGAGAGCGGTGTAGGAGCGAGCGCGGACAGACGTACTGTCCACACAGTCGACCAGCGAGCCGGACGTCGTGAACGGTATCAGCGAGTCCATCGAGAGTGGCGTCCCAGATGCGTGCGCGGTTCAAGTGGTGAGTTGAGCCAGTCCGGGCTCACGCGCGAGAATCGAGTATATAAGGGCCCGTCTGAAATTTCGCGACGTCCTTCTTGCTTTCAGCAACCATCTCATCTACGCACGTCGCCTCGCGTTCTGGGGCTTCGGCTACCAGCGCAATGTTTACTATAGTGTACCTTCAATATATGCGCATTTTTCTCTAGCAAACCTTTTCCGCCCTATGCATTGCTACCCCGAAATTCCCCGATCCCACCACTTGCCCTCTTACTAGCCGCCGAGACGCTTGCTTCACGCCCGCCTCCGCGTCTTTCCAGAGGGCAAAGAACGACAAGAGCCGACCGTTGTGTAGTTCGCCGTGGTATTCGTATGGATGTGTTCACGGGGGACAAGAAGTGTCGATGTACATTACTACTTACACTTGCTATGCCATTTTCTCTATGTTGAGGATACTCGTTGTGGAGTTGCACAGATGTGCCAGTAATTATGTCATGTACTTAGAAACGGGCTCGTTCGCAGTGGACACTTGATGAACGCGTCTGCCCAACGGGAAAGAACGACGTCTTCAACCACACTCACACAAGGTGTATGCGTATCTGTTCGAAGAGTCGAAGCATATCATGCACCGGCGAATAACATTATGCTGCGTTGGACTGCTTCCCGAAATACTCCCACTGTCCCGCATCCGGCTTGACCTCTAATGGCTCCCATCTGTACACAAGGGCCGTCAGTATGCTGCGTGACGGATGGGAGCGAGTTGGACGTACGATTTCCACTCGGCGACCTTGCCCACCAAGCTGAGCTCGTCCTCCGCAATCAGGAGCGACTCTTCGATCTGCCCCTCGTCCAGGCCCTTCTCTACGGCGGCAATGTCTCCGTTTGCGGAGTTGAGGATGGAGAGTTTGTGGCGCACGACGGCTTCTGTGCCCTGGCGGTAGACGGAGTGCTCGGGGAGGGATGCGAGCCCCGCAAGCGTGTTCTCGTACAGCTTGGAGAGTGCGGGCAGCGGGTTCTTGTGTACGGGTATGCCGGTGATGCCGGTCGAGAGCTTTGTAACCTGGAGGAGCGGCCTCGTGAAGCGGAACATGGTGGCTGAGCGTAGAGAACCCGGCCACGCGGGACGCGCCGACCAGCCTGTCTCCGTCAGATTTCGCGCGCTCCCGGCTTGCCAGCATCCGTCCACCATGGCCTCTTCGCTCACCAGATTATCATTGGCAGCGTCTCTGGCACCCGGCTCGCTGGCCTGGACAAGCCCTTCGTTGGGCTCCTTGCTCGAACTTTTCCCGCCCTGGCTGCTTGCCGTTCCAAAGAAGAAGGTGTCGCACTCGCGCAAGAACATGCGGAGCGCCAACAAGGGTCTCAAGGACAAGCACAGTCCGTCGGTGTATTCTATCAACGCCGCATCATAGCTGACCAACCCTATAGATATTGTAAACTGTCCCGGCTGCGGCGCCGCCAAGCTGTCACATCACTTGTGCGCCAACTGTTACTCTGTCCTAAATCGCAAGTGGAAGGGCAAGTACCCGACTGCAGAGGATGCTCCGTTGATGGAGGGTCAGAACCCAACGCCGGCATGATACTCCACAGTATGTGCACTAGCTTACGTTCCTGTCTGGTGTACCATCTAACGCGCCTCCAAGTCAGGACTCATTCACGTCATTCGCTAGTCCCTCGCATTTGTTTCGCTGTCACTCCTTGTATATGAGCACCCGTTCTGCGGGATAATTCAATTCATCTATAGGCCTACAGCCTGGTGAACAAAGTCCTCTACAAGCGCCCCGTACTCGTTCACTCCCCCGGTCCAGAGCTTAAATATCAAGCACGCCCATCCTACACCGTACGCGCAACCAACTGCGACTTGGGGCCAAGTGTGATGCCCAAGCCACATACGCGAGATAGCGATGAGTGATGCACACGGTACAATGAGGATTGGCGGCAATGCTCGTGTGTATGGACTGGGCGATAAAGATGGGTGCAGAGGCAGGTATGCGCAAGCCAGCGGAATGTATGCTACGCAGTCATTGAGCATCAGAGTGACTGCGGGGGAGAAAGCCTTAGACTTACTCGCGAAGTATGTGATGGACGCAGAATGCGTACTCGGCATGCTGTGGAAGCAGGGTCTCAGTCAGTCAATGTTTACGCACGAAAAGGGCCTTGTAGCACACACCCATAAGATTTCTTTTTGACCTTACGGTAGATGGGATCGGGGCGTTCTTGTCGGATGAGCCGCTTCACGACCTTGACCGAGAGCGAGCATGAAACCGCGCCGGCGGCAAAGTAAGCCACTCCTGCAGAGCGAGTATAGAGCAGGAAGGCGGCTGTCGCGCCTATGATGGTGATATTGCTCTATGCGCGCGACGGCGTCGGTACGGTCTGATCCACGGCTCGCAGTTCAAGAGCCTCGTACGTGGTCAAGGCATCGCAGAGCAAACAACCTGAGTTTGCTCCTTTCTTTGTTATCGTGACGGGACATGCACGCCGGAGTCAGCCTTGGCAGGTCGCAGTGAGAAAGAGTGTGCGTGACGGTCAAGAGCAAAGAGCGCACGGCGGACATGCGTGATCGCTCACGCTCTAGCGAGCGAGGGGCAGCCAGACGCGCTATCTGCTCTCGACCGCCATGCTCCGCGTTGTCGTGATACATGGGTAATGTCAAATGTCACTGCTTTGGATTACACTTGTCCTCGTCGTCTTATGCGTTGCAATGTACTCATCTCGGCGCACACCTAAGGCCAACGATCCATATGGCGAATTTCATCTGGTGTTGAATAAAGTGCACAGCGATGCTGATAGACCATCAACTGAGTGGCTGAACATGGGCTACTGGAAGGTGAGGGATTATCTTTCCAAACTGTGTCATCTTTCATAGGTAACACCACGCCTAGACTGAGACCATATTCCCGAAGGCATGCGAAGGTGGCCCTTCGCTCTCCACACGCTTTACAAGCCGTCTGAGGTTAACGTCTAGCTCTTGCCTTACTTCTTTGCAAGTCGGCCCGAATAAAGAATGGGGACAGAGTACTAGGTCAGCATGCAGGCGATTATTGGCGGGGTGACGCCTGATTGTTTCTTGATAGACGTCGGCTACGGTTGTGGCGATTCTCTGCTCCTGTTCCTCACACACGAGGATATTCCTCAGCTCCGCTCTCTTAGCGGGATAACCAGTCTTCCGGCTCACCACTACAAATCCAGAGTCAGGATGGACGAGCTGCTATCTTCCGAGCCAGGACTAGCTGCTCGTACGTCGGTTGAGTTATTCGAAGGAGACGCGGTCTGGCGTGAGGGGGTGACTTCAACTCAACACCCGTTGTCTCGTTACTCACGACGGGATTTCGACGTCATCTTCGCTCTCGACTGCGCGTATCACTTCAACACCCGCCGAGAATTCTTAGAGGAGAGCTTTGCCCACCTTGCACCGGGTGGACGCATTGCTTTAGCCGACATCTGTTTCGACCAAACGCCAGCAGGCGCCGTGACACTCCTGTTATCCACTATTCTGCGGACTATGCCGCGCGCAAACGCCACTTCAAAAGTTGATTACGCTGCTGGCATGACAGATATAGGCTTCACGGAGGTGACTATGCAGGATATCACAGAGGACGTCTTTCCCGGATTCATGTGCTTTCTATCCACACAAAGCATGGCGTTCCGGCTCTTGGGGAAGAGCATAGGACTGTTGCAGACTCTGGGTGCCCGCTTTGTAATAGTTACGGGAACACGTACCGCTTAAATCGCTTCGTCCCTCAGAGCTTAGTGTTTTGTACTCGGTGTGCTATAGATCCCTACCTGTGACCGCACGATTCGATGGCATTCCTCTGCGTTCTGACATGAAGTAAATGGGCGGATCCGTGCCTGTGCGGCAGACCGAGTTTGACCTGCGCGCAGATCGCGTCCGAGATGTCTTCAACCGCTATGTATCCGAGCATTTTATCGGCGATGAACAGCACGGAGGAAGAAGATGACGCGTCACAAAAAAGATCGCTGACAAGAGGGTTCGAACCTCTGCGTGCAATGCACAAGTGATGTTGAGAAATTCAAATCACTCGCCTTAACCACTCGGCCATATCAGCTTATCAACTTAGTTATCAACAGTAACCATATACATTTCATCACTTTCCAGGACACGCCTCACGTGAACTTCTCGATCTCAGAATTTGCAGGACGCGCTGAACGCGTTCTGCACCCGATTGACTTTCACTTTCCGTCCCCGCTGCTCCTCCATATCCTTCGCCATGCCGGTCGAAGACTTCATCATGACTATAGACTCTGACGACGAAGGCACTTCTCCTCTCGCGAAACCTGCCGTACCGAAATCTTCCAAAGCGGAAGATGTGCAACTCGATCCTGAATTCACGTTTGACTTCTCGGGGGACCCGTACGCGGACTTGACTGGCGGCATGGCCGACGTCGATGACTTTGTAAAGGAAGGCTCTAAGCCGGTACGCAATGCTCTCACTTGCGGCTATGTTCATATCCTGAACCAAATGCCGTGTCACAGGCTCCTATATCCGTGAACGACATTATTGCCAAGCGGCGCGCCCGTATAATCACGGGTAAGCGAAAGCGAGATGCTAGTGATGAGGATGACGGCGAAGATGCTTCTTCCGAAGAACCGTCATCAGGCGAGCCGGAGAGTGATGGAGAGGAAGAGAGCGAGGACGGAGACGAGATGTTGGCGGAACTCGACGAGGAAGACGATGACCCGTTGGCGACGTCGGGGGAAGAGGAGGAGGACGAAGTTGCGGGAAGTGATATGGGGGGCGCAGATGGAAGTGATGACGACGTCGAGGATCCCGAGTCGTCGGAGGATGGAAGCGACGAGGAGACCGCAGCTGAAAGGGCTCGAAAAGCTGCATTCTTCGCGTCGGACGCTGCTCCATCTGAAGCTCATTCATCTTTCCTGACCATGAACTTGTCGAGACCCCTGCTCAAGGCAATCACGACTTTGGGGTTCCATTCGCCAACACCGATTCAGGCTGCCACCATTCCTGTCGCTTTGCTCGGGAAGGACATTGTCGGAAATGCTGTGACTGGATCTGGAAAGACGGCTGCATTCATCATACCTATGATCGAGCGTTTGTTATACCGCGAACGAGGCAAGAAAGCAGCTGCGACGCGTTGTGTCATTCTCGTCCCAACACGGGAACTGGCTGTGCAGTGTTACGACGTTGGGAAAAAACTGGCAACGCACACGGACATTCAGTTCTGCCTCATTGTCGGTACGCGCTTACGCAAATATACACGCCTCCCGGACTGAAATGCATCTGGATTAGGTGGACTGTCGCTTAAGGCTCAAGAGGTTGCTTTGCGCGCTAGACCGGATGTACTCATCGCGACGCCCGGTCGGCTCATCGATCACCTGCGTAATTCGCCTTCCTTTTCCTTGGACGCCCTTGATATCTTGGTTCTGGATGAGGCCGACCGGATGCTGTCCGATGGTTTCCACGACGAGCTTACGGAGATCATTAACGCCTGCCCGACGTCCCGACAGACCATGCTCTTCTCGGCCACGATGACAGACTCCGTTGACGAGCTCGTCAAAATGTCCCTGAATAAACCTGTCCGCCTATTCGTCGATCCAAAACGAACCACGGCGCGTGGTCTTGTGCAGGAGTTCGTCCGGGTTCGTTCTGGCAAAGAAACTGACCGTTCCGCGCTCCTCGTCGCGCTATGCAGGAGAACATTCAAATCGGGTGTCATCATCTTCGTGCGAAGTAAGAAGCTCGCGCACCAGTTGCGCATTGTTTTCGGGCTGCTGGGCATGTCATGCGAAGAGCTGCATGGCGACCTCTCGCAGGAGCAAGTAGGTCCTTGCTCTGATGTTCCAATATGACCGCGCGCTGACATGGGCCTCAAATTTTAGCGTCTCAGAGCGCTTCAACAGTTCCGGGACGGCAAGACCGACTTCCTTATGGCAACTGATCTCGCGTCTCGTGGTTTGGACATCAAGGGGATTGAGACGGTCATCAACTATGATATGCCAGGTCAGCTGGCTCAGTATCTTCATCGCGTTGGTCGCACTGCCCGCGCAGGGAAGAAGGGTCGGTACGTATCTTTATCAGGGTTGGGCTTGGTCTTGGAACCTTACTCAATAACGTCTAGTTCCGTCACCCTTGTCGGTGAAGCGGACCGCAAGATGCTCAAAGCGGCGATCAAGCATGCATCGGGTGAAGACCAGGTCCGCCACCGGACCATACCTACCGATGTTGTCACCAAGTGGGCCAAGAAGCTCGATTCCTTGAAGAACGAGATCGCCGCCGTCATGCGGGAAGAGAAAGAGGAGAAACAAGTGCGACACCCTGTATGAGCGCTTGAGTCGAGTGCTGATGTGCGGATTGCAGTTGCGCCAAGCCGAGATGGAGGTGACAAAGGGCCAGAACATGCTTGCGCACGAAAAAGAGATTTTTTCGCGCCCTGCAAGGACCTGGTTCCAGTCCGGCAGAGACAAAGCTACTTCTTCTGGTACGCCTTACTCTCGCCTGTCTTGACGCTTGGCTGACTTTGCATTAGCGCTAAGCAAGCAGCAATATGAAAAAGGCTTTCCGGCTGACAAGGCTGACAAGGATAAGGCCGCCGCTGGCGCCGAAGCTAAGGTATATTCAATGGAATGTCATGAGAGCATTTCTGACGCCGATACAGCCCAAACGCGACAAGTTATCTGGTCTCACTCGGCGCGCCAAAAGGAGAAAGCTTGCTATGGAGGAGGATGCGGCTGAGGGAAACCGCAAGGGTGTCGATGCTGCGATCCGGTCTGTCAAGAAATCTTCGCGTCCAACCAAATTAGGTCTTCCAGAACCTAAGGCGGACAAGAAGAAGAGCAGGAGTGCCAAAACGAAGACGAAACAGAGCGGGAAGAAAAGTGGTGCCTTCGAGAGTGATATGGGGCAACGGGTGAAAGGCGAGGGCGTACGCGCTAAGAAGGGTGATGTCATTGGAGGTATGAAGAAGGGTGGGAAGAGAAAGACGAAGTAATATATTATCTTGGGATTCTGTGTCATTATATAGCTTTCGACTTTGATTTCAGTCCCCGGTGCTCTATACATATCGGGATGGTTTCCAGCGGTATGATCGCCATGTGGCATGTCCGACGTGCACGTGGGATCTAAAGAAGACGCGTCGCGCTCATGTTCACTCTCCATCAACCCTCACCTCTTCTGCTGTCTATTCCCTGAGGTCGAGACCTTCAACGAATTATGGAGAGCTCTTCGGGGATCGCATCTCTTGCGGAGATACACGTCCCACCATACTCTCGGTTGCTGCCTAATTCGTGTTGCCCGGACAAGGATTTGGTTGTGGTCTTTTCGACACTTGGCGGCAAAGATCGCATGAGCCTGTGGAAAATGCAGGGCTCCAAGAAATGGGATGTCGACATTGATCTGGGACTTGCTGTAGACGAGATGATAGTTGACATGACATGGAGTCCCGACTGCGAGTGATGACCTTTGCCGCTGTTGCGAGAGTATACTCAGCAGTATCCTTCAGGCCAGATGATTGTTCTCATACACGATCCGCCGCGTATCACCTGCCACTCCATCCAAACGGGGAAGATAGAGCGAGAAATACCGCTAGCTGATGACTTTGACCCAATTGCAAGCCTTACTGGCGTTTGGTGGTTCACAGAGGAGAAGGCGCCGACTACCGCGATACCGGATATCTTCAAGCGTTCCGGCGTACAGGTCAGTGCGCACATTCTTTGCAATCCAAGGGGTTCTGACCTATCTTGTAGGCTGGGACGACATTATCTCTCCTTAGAATGCTCCCCCTACTTGATAACATCACGGAAACAGCTCGCTCGACAGGGTAAGCAACCTCAACACTTCCTCGGAGCGGCTGGTCTCACAAGCTTTCTAGTATGCCAGATGCGTTCGGCTTCCGAACGACTCAAACAAAACCAGCCGCTGAAAAGCTCCCCGATGCGTTCACGTCCTGGCCTACATTACCAACAGACCAGCTCTCGGCATCAATACAAACACCGAAGAAAGCACGGGAACTTCAGGACGAAGGTCTGGATGAGAGTGACGACATCATTATGGACAGTACACTCGTCGTTGTGGATGACTCGGGCTCCATGCAGGTTTTTCTTGATGGCACTTACCCTCTGGGCCTCATCAGAGTCGATCCTGACTCCAGTACCGCGTCTCTGGTGAAACCCTCAGGCTCGCGAGCTCTATTGGCCTTCCAATCTCATATGGACGTCAGTGCGTCGCACTCATTCTCATCGCTGTTACCGACCGAGATCACTCTCACGCTACTATCTTCGCGGATACCCCGCGACGTAGCCCGTCTGTCTTCGACTGCACATCAGCTGTGTATGTATGCGTACAGGGTCGTAGAAGATCTTCGGGTTGTATGGATGGGTGTTGGATCTCAGTCTGGGGCCAGAAATCCTAGCTTGAGATGGCTCCAGAGATTGGCGGAGCTTCAGCCGGGATATTACGGTCGTATGTTGGTACACGTTTGATGTGCAGGATCCTATTCACCGTCAACTCAGCAATGAGTATGGATTGGGCGAAAATTGATCTTCTGCAACTGCTTGCCGCCGAACGGTCAACCGAGCCTGTCAGCGATTTCATCGGAGCGGGAGAGCAGATGAGCGACCGAGTACGAGTGCGGTTGGTATCATGACGAATCGGCACTGATGCGCCAGAAGGGGCTCTCGAAATGGGAAACCAATGTCACAAGCGCGCTGATCAAATTACGAGATCAGTCCGAGCAGCGCATCGCGCCGGCCTGTCAGCGTCTTCACCTCGTATTGGAGGAAGTTCTGGGCCTATCGCAGTTGTCAGTTGCCTCTTGCTCTCGCATCGTGGAGATCTGAAGCTTACAACCTTCTTTGCGACATAGACCCCACGCGTACGGACTGTTTCAGTTGCACACAGAAGAGCTCCACGAATGCTTGAACATGGTGGCGCAAACCATCACCACGGCAAGCTGGCTGTCTTCCGTTGCTCGGCGAGAACTGGCCCGGTTCAAGGAGTTCATGCGATGGCTACGTTTCGGTACGTCACTATGCGTCTGGCATCCCCATTGCACTCAATTCTCACTTTTAGAGATAAACAATGTCTCCGCTCAAGAAAATCACGTTCTTCAACCGCGCCACGATTTCCTTGAAGTGATGAGTTATATTTGCCATGGTTTGGTTGACAGTCCTATCGACAGATGGTTCAGCGGAGAGCCGCCTACTACGCTTCTACCCATGAAGCCGACCGACGGGACCGATCTGGAGGAGATCATGCGCACTGCTCACGGTGCATTATCGGATCCCAACGAAATCAAGCTGAACCGTGTGGGTCCATACCGCTGAGAATATAACGTGTACTCAGCGCTCAATCGACAGCGCGTTCGCCCGTACAACCTCAATGATAAAGGGAGAAACATGCATGACCTGCTCCTTGGTTTAGCCGACAGGTGCAGCATGCTTTTCAAACGCGCCGCTAACGGCACTGCGCGCTCGGTCATACTTTCAACGCCACAGCCTACAAACACGCCGGCAGAGAGAACGAACCTGATCATTCACGAGCATATGATCGTCGGCGCTGAACAGGCAATACATCCCATCTACAAGGAACGAATGAGAGCGCTAAAGTAGAACCTAGGGTGCCTTCACGCAGTTATTGGCCGCATATGCGCCGAATGACGGACTAGCTTGCTGTGCGTCATCTGCGGTTCCAAGGATTATACCTTACAGCGCGCTAATCTCACTATGACCAGTATGCATCCTCCGCCTACAGTATCATCGTGATGCGATGCCGACGCTTCATCATCTCGTGCTTGAGTGTCAACACGAGGGTGATATCATTGACCTGCTGGGCTTCGAATTCTTCGACGACGAGTCTCTCGTTGCCGTTTATCGTCATAGGGATCAAGGCATGCCTTGCTCATGTTCAGCCTTCCTTGATGCTCATATCGTATCAGAGCAAACATGGCTAGGTCTTATCAACTTCACCGCGGTGGGCCAGCAGTTCGTTGCGACAGAAGAAACGTTGGAAGGCATAGCGCGGGAGGAAATCGCGTGGCGTACTATGCAGCGTTGGAGGTCCGGTGAGGTGTGTACACAATGACCTGTCGAGCGGGCCTGTTCTGAGGCGGAGCGCCCAAGTTTGCTAGCTCGGCGATACGGCTCGCACGCTGGCGCGCAATGACGGCGTGTCGCGGTGAAGATTTCCATCTGGCTGTGAATGGACGAAAGGGCCGAAGAATTGCGTGCGTGCTGGACTTGGAATCAAACACGATGGAGACGCTAGACCTTGCTGCGGACGAGGACGAGACGGAGGACGGAGAGGAAGACGGTGATGGCGACGGCGACGAGAATGACGACGCGTAGCGACAACGCGGGACTCGCGTGGCAGTGTGGCCAGCGAATTGACAAGGGTTTCCAGCCCAAAGCAGAAGACTTCGAAAGCTTATTGTAGGTAATAGGGACAATACACACGAGGACCTCGCCAGGCGAGGATCCTGCATAAAGAAGATGCGAACATCTACTAGAAAGGCACCTGCGTGATGCACGCGTGGAAGCGCGCACGGTGAACGACTGAACTGCGAACTCTGTTAGCCGAGGGCGGGACCCGCCGTGGATGACAGTATAGTGATCGAGACAGGCGCTTCTTCGGTTTCTCAGGCCGGGAGAGAGCTGCGTAAATCCCGTATACAGCAAGTCTCGGTAAGGTAGACAATACCTCCCTCCGGATTCAGCCCTCGGAACTCGTATGTTGTGGACGGAAGTGCAAGAAGTTGGAAACGAGGTTTGGCGGAAGATCGAGGGCTAAGGCCCAGTGCGTCGTACCGAAGTTCCCGGAGACTCGGCGCGCACATGTGCCTTTATGGTCTGCTTTCGGCGCCAACGCGCCTGGCTCTAATTATCCTCCCTCTCTTAGCCGACCCGTTCTGCCCGAACACCCACTCCCTTCCTCCTCCCGTCATCGCGTTCCTGCGCCGATATCGCGCTTCTCTTCCCCGCGTACATGGCCCCCAGTTCGCGCGCCAGTGCGCCTCCTTCCAAAGATATAGACAAGGACGGGTCTGCTGAGCTCTCCGACGCCGCGCTTCGAAAGAAGAAGAATGCCGACGCTCAAGCGGCCTTCCGTGCTCGGAGGGCCAACTACATATCAACGCTGGAGGAGACCGGTCAGTGATCGCGCTCTTGACGCGTCTTTGGGCATGTTTCCTCACTCTTTAAACAGTCACCAACCTTGAACAAGTCGTTCTGCAACTACAGGAGTCCGTTCGCGACCACGAAGGCTCGCAAGCACGTCTACAACAAGAAAACGAATCTCTGAAGCAAGAGATTGTGAACGTGAAACAATATTGCATTGAACGCGACGGTTTCTGGCGTTCTACTTGCGTGCAGAAGGGAATCATAGACGGTCTTCCTCCGCCGCCTGCTTTTGGGGGCTCGTACTCGTCTCCTTACGCTTCATCTGTCGGACACCAGCACCATGCCGTGTCTACCAATACATCGTACTCCGACAGTCAGGGAACTATGTCTTATCCCGTTTCGCCTTCAATAACACAACCTCCGGCGTATTCGAGCATGGGCAGCATGGGCGACCAACCACTCCGTCCTTCATCTGCTCCTTACACACAGGCCCTCGATTCTGAGCATGGCGCATCTCAAAGACCGCTTCTTCCGAAATATGACAGCTACTCGTCCTACTCTGTTTCCAGTGCCGCTCGCGGAGCAGATTGGCCACAACAGGTTGCGCAGTCTTCGTCTTCCGGCGCGGATTCTTCTGGTGGTCATGGTTCTGCCAACTCTCCAAACTTCGTCGAATCACCCATCAACACTCCTGACACGCATTATGGTCAGCGTTACACTGCGGACGACCAAAAATCCTCTCCGCTCATCGCTGGCGGCGGCGGCGGGCAATATATGTACCCAGTCGCACGCTCACCGTCGACCGCCCCATCGTCATCTTCGTCCACGCACACCGCGGCACCGTACTTCACACTACCACCGGAACACTCGAGCGTGGTGCCCGACGACCTCCGCCGGCATTCCATCGGTCATGGGGGAGAGGTGACACTCCACGGGGGGATCGCCAACATCTCTGTTCCTGGGCAGGGCAACGACGGAGTGCGCTATAGGCTCACACCGTCTCGCCGAGAGTCCGCGCCGACGGACAGAGGCATGTTTCCCGCGCTCCCTCATTTTTCGCAGAATGAGGCACTGGCCGGAGCATCAGGCGCAGGGTCTAGCGGCGACGTCGGCGCGGGATACGCGCCCGGGCGACTGCGCGCTGACCGTGGCGCCCAACGGTCGTCTCGCTCGCCGTCACCGGGCCCGTCGCCAATATCGGGTACCCTCGCCGTCATCAAAGCACAGGCCTTTGGTGCTCTGAGACGGACCCGTGGCCGTAAGAAGGGCGACGATGCAGCTAGGATGGCCAAAGAGGCGTTGGAAGCGCGTGGTATATCGCTAGGCGTATCAACAGCTGGCGGCACAAAGCGGCAACGCACCCGTTACGAAGAAGACGATTCCTCATGACCCTGACCAATACTTGAGCGGATACATCGCAAATTACGCATAGTTGTTGTACCTTTGTCTCCCGCATACCTACAAGCCTATTCCAAGATACCGCACATTCCATTAACGCTTTCTCCGCATGCTATTGGTTCTTCCATATTCGTACAATCTCTTGCTTTACGCTCTCTGCCCCCTTTTGCATGTACTGTGTTGCTTGCGTTGTATATAGCTTTGTAGCTTTGTTTTCCCAGTTCTGCATATCCTAGCAACTAATTGCTTGTATTCTGTCGTCAACTTACATCAAGTATGGATTAGATGAAAGCCATTCGGATCGTCGTCCGCGGCTATCGCCCCGACAATGACTGGGCTTGCGGGCTCAAGCCTGCATCGCGGGCGGGCTCTCTGTGTTCATCGCTTGACGTGACACGATGATCGCCGGGTGTGTGCGTAGTGTGCCACACAAACACGCGTACTGCACGAGCACGGATTATTGCAGACACGACGTTCACCTGAACAAATCCCGAAAGGCCCGGGAGCAACGGGCACCATATATAGGCATTGTGCACCGAGTTGAGGCAACGCACGAGCGTGCTGTTCCCACATGCCCGAAGAGAGTTAGCAAACGCAGGTGAGCCCTGCCATCAAACTTCCATGAGATCGTCATTCAGCCTTTTCGTGAATACAGACAGTGCGGATCCTCTGAGCCCGGTCATTCCGGAGCCGGCCGGAGCAGGTCTATACGATCTAGTTCCTGCCCACTCGCGCGTCTTCCGTGCGAGCGCCGTCACATAGATATACTGTTCTGCGACATCGTTCGACGCCGAGCCAGGCATGGCGCCTCTGCTAGATCGGTGTACCGTGATCAACGACGATGCAACCCAACATTGCAGACTTATGATGTATACGCAGCAGTCAACGGCATATCACGACACCTGAGTTCCACGAATCCAAACCTTGGGTACTGCCACGTCCCACGGTCCGCGAATCTCACTGCACCGAACGGGTTAGTTGGTGGTGCGCGAAGAAGGATCCAACGAACTTCTTGTGGGCTTGTGCGTGAACGAGGACTGCGGGCGCGACAAATGTCACGCTTGCCATCGCTGAACCGAACAGCAGCGTCGTTGGAGCAGAAACTTGCGACATGAGAACGAGGGCCAGCACGGACATTGCCGATGTGAATAGGAGCCGGACGTTCGTCGGTCTAGACTACGTTGTGTGAGTGAGATCGAAGCGAGAGATTGTGTCTAGGCGCATACACTCACCTGCAAACGATGACGGAGGATCGGGAAAAGCGCGAAAAGTAGCACTGCGAAAAGCACCAATGCAAACACAGCCAAATCCTCGTGTAAACGTGAGGCCAACACCACTGCCGCGGAGATGGCGGCGTTCATTGAAAGCACTGAGGTGAGCCTACAGGGGTAAATGAAGCAAGGAACACCCAATCAGGTGCCGGTATCGCGAGGAACAGGCGTGCGCACTGTCATACCGTTCACGAATCTGACCCCCACGCCTCACTGAGCTATAGTCTGCGAGACCGGCGTTCAATAGGAAGAGGAAAATGGAGAGGGCCCATATAGAATCCGACGAAGTGGGGGCAGTCAGCGTCCGCAGAATTGGCGCCAGGGCGATAAGTGCGAGGAATATCAATATTGACGCTTTTGCAGCTTTTGCACCTGAAAATTGTAGTCGCAGACGGTCAGCTTTAATCAACTTGAATGGGCCTTAGAACTTACGGTAGTCGACATTCGCTCGATAGACAGCCCACTCCGAGTCGACTCGATCAAGCATTTCCCACAGAACGAGGCCAATGAGGAACATGCCCCCCGAGATGAAGACGAGTAAGCGCGGATCCAGGCTTCCGCTATACAGATGCACGAAAGCCACGAGAAAGAGTATGATTGCGGACAGGTGCTGCGTTATTGCACACGATCTGATGACAAGTGACCAGTAGGTGTATGGTTTCACATTGGCTATTCTCCATAAATATACGACACTTAGCTCATGACGAGGAATGTGGCTTACGATTCTTGCTGAGGGACGACAAGAAGGACCGAGGGACATGATTGTCAGGGTAAGTTTGGTCCTTCCATAGGATTCGCTCCCAAGCGATTTGGTCGGTCATAACACATGTGCTGTGGCGGTGACGGTCAGAGGCAAGTGCGTCTACCTCGGAATACGAGCGCATCACGACAAGGGACGAGTTCGAAATATAGCTTTGAGAATGTCCGATATCGATTTTACATCCGAAGCAACTACGAAGCGGGATAATCATACGGCAAGGCACAGTGATCTCGTTTAACAGTAGATGTGCATGGAGTGAACGGGTGGAGCTTGGGATGAAATCGCCACAGTCGGTCAGCGGGATGTCACCGATCAACGATACTGAAGTGGATATATGTGAGCTCTGGTCCTCTGGAAGCACAAACGTTAAATTCGACGCTCGAGGCATCAGGCGCAAGGCGCTCACCAAGAAAGCATGCAGTAACCCCACTTCCATGGTATACCGGCATCAACGGCTCGCAACCTCACTACTGTAGCCGCGCAGAAACCCCAATCGCGCTTGTATTCAATCCCACTGTGACAGCAATCAGTCCAAGCACCGGCCGAGGTCGCTGGCAATGCTCACCACGAGTCTTTCCTCCTGCCTCGCTTCGGGAACTCTCGCTGCCTTCTTGTTGGCCTCAACCTTGGCAGCAAGCGCCCCGCTATTGGGGTTCGAGCTGACGACACCTCGGGCCTTCTCCTAAAGTGCGCTATCAGCAAGTCGTGGCATGCGCGCCGCGAGTGCGAGGCCACGTACCGCCGCGAGCCTTCGCTCGGCCGCTTCGGCGGCTGCTCGTCGAGGATCTGCAGGCTGTGTATCCGATGGTCGCGTCGACAGACTGTTGGCTGCTGGCTTTGATCGTGTAGTGCTTCCTGCAGGCGGTGAGGCAGGCGAAGGCTGTGAGCGAGCCCCTGGGCCGGCCGTAGGTTGAGATGCGCCGCGCCTAGCTTCGGGTGCCAGTCTGACAGGTCGAGGGGGCTCAATGTCGGGCTTGGAACATAATGTCCCCATATGTTCAGATGGACAGGTTCAATTATTCTCTCGCCCACTCCTGCAAGTGGGAAGCGGGGTGGAGGCCGAGGAGTAATGACGGTGGAAGTCAAAGTTTGTACTCAGCGTAAACTGCGGATGTTAGGATGGGTCAAGGGCGCTTGATGACCATGGGCCTTTAAGATCAACGTTATGTACTACTAGGATGTAAGATACAAGTGAATACATCATGGAGTAGTTCTAGCCCGCTCTGTGGGAGAGGGAGACCCCTCCCTCGAAACCGCAAAATACTCCCCATGCCTTTGGCCAGAAGGGGATCCAGCAACGTTGCGCGAACCGAGCCTGATGTTCTCCAGTTGTGGCGGTACCCAATTCTGTGTAGAATGTACATCAATATACTGGGCAGGCAGACTCTCAACATATATTACGCACCTGCCACCACTTTCTGCCTTCGTTCCAGGGAGCGTTCAAGTCGATGCCGGCTTTGACCATACGGCCCTTGATACCAGCGCCCAGTAAAAGCCCGAACACGGTCAGCAGGAATAAAGTTACCACGAGCTGGTCGCGCGGCGAGTCACGTTCTGTATGAGAGAAGGCTATGTTGAGTTTACACATGTCGCACTCTTGATCAAGGAGACGTACGAAAGCATCTCGCCTCAACGTCTCCCTCCTTTCCGGTGGCAGTATCCGGATCGGTGTCGCCTAGGGTTGCACCGGCGCATATAGGTAGATTTTGATTCAAGCACCACTGCTTCGTGCAGGACAGGCATGGTTTGGATGGATTTTCCGGTATGGCAAGGTGCAAGATTGAATAATTGGCGCCGAAACAGATGCCTGGAAGACCATATTAGAGCTATAGCCTTCAACGTATGCATGTTGGCTACCCACATTTACAGAAGTTCGTGGCTTCCCATTTCCCTAATTCAGCTTGGGCGAATGACTAGGGCTAATAGATCATGTTTTGGCGGGATGCAAACGTGTGCTAATGGCATACCGCAAGTGATAGAAGCGTAGCCAGACAAAGGAGAGGTAATGGCAACATCTGAACCATGGTAACGGGTGGTCGGATGTGACCTCAGAAGATGGGCGTCTGTGGAGAGTCGCGTCGACGCGTCGCGCCGCGTGCTTCGACTTGCACTTGTCTTTGATCGTCTAGTCTGTTTACTGGATTCATTGTCGGTCATCACGTACTCGAAGTCTTGACCTGGCGATGTCCGCGGAATATGAGGACGTCTTGACAAATCAGCCCGTCGTGATTGACAATGTCTGTGGCGCGCGACTCGTGGTGCTCTCAAACAGCACGCTGAAGTATCCGTATAGGGCTCCGGCGCAATCAAAGCTGGTTTTGCTGGGCAGGATCACCCGAAATGCTTCTTTCCCTCGTAGTGCGTGGTCACGACGATACGGCTGGCTTTTTAAACACTCATGTTGCCGCACAGTGTTGGACGGCCGAAGCACGTACGCGTTATGGCTGGAGCATTAGAAGGAGATGTGTTCATCGGGCGGAAAGCACAAGAGTTCCGTGGGCTACTCAAGATCAAATACCCAATGGAACATGGCATTGTTACGGACTGGGACGACATGGAACGAATATGGAACTGGGTGTACGCAGAGGAGCTCGGGACGCTGAGCGAAGAGGTACGCACACGATGCTTGTGCACGAAATGCTTTGCCGTTGAACAACATGATCAGCATCCCGTCCTCTTGACCGAAGCCCCTCTGAATCCACGGACTAATCGCGACGTTGCTGCTCAGATATTTTTCGATACCTTCAACGTCCCAGCGTTGTATATCTCTGTACAAGCTGTGCTCTCACTGTATGGTCTATGCCTTTGCAACGACCCCACTGCCACTGCTGACTCTTGATCAGATATTCCTCAGGTCGTACGACTGGTATTGTATTGGACGCAGGCGATGGCGTCACACACGCCGTTCCGGTGTTCGAGGGTTTCTCCATGCCTCATGCCATTCGCCGGATAGATGTCGCCGGAAGGTGGGCGTAACACATATGAGGCTTGATACTTGATTGAACACACCCACAGGGACGTCACCGATCAGCTACAATTACTACTCCGCAAGTCTGGGCACCACCTACACACCACGGCGGAAAAGGAGGTTGTACGGACAATCAAGGAAAAGACGTGCTATATCGCTCTTAATCCATCAAAAGAGGAGAAGGATTCTCTGGGGCGGACAGAGGAGTTCAAACTACCAGACGGAAATACCGTACAGGTACGCCGTTTCACGCATGCGAGCTTACTGCGCTCAGTTCACAGTGCTTTGTTACAGCTAGGCGCAGAACGATTCCGTGCACCGGAGATCCTCTTCAACCCCGAGATAATCGGGATGGAGGACCCAGGCGTGCATCAGGTCGTGGTAGACTCTATCAACAGGGTTGATCTCGACTTGCGCAAGAGTCTCTTCTCCAACATCGTCTTGAGCGGTGGCACTACGCTCTGCCGTGGTGCGTGTGTCCGTCCCGCTGGGTTACCCGCGAAGCTGACTTACGTAACAAGGCTTCGGCGACCGCTTATTGAACGAGGTGAAGAAAGTCGCGGTCAAGGACGTGAAGCTCAAGATCTACGCTCCGCCGGAACGCAAATACTCTACCTGGATTGGTGGATCCATCCTGGCAGGTCTCAATACGTTCAAGAAGGCAAGTTGGTCTGCGAATATCGAACTGCGTGGCATTGTTCTGAATTGGTTGATAGATGTGGGTATCCGCGGAGGAGTACCAGGAGGATCCAGACATCATTCACAAGAAGTTTGGGTTCTGAGCGCGTGCCGCTATTCATTATTCTCACTCGTTCTTGGTGTCACTCCGCTATACCCAGCTTTCCACGTGCTTCTTAGTGAACATCTGTCGGACGTTGAACGATAATTGCAAGAGGTTTTTGAAATGCATATGCATGAGATGGCGAGCATGGATGGAGGCATACGCAAGTAAGATACACCGATGATGCGAAGTGGAATGGATGGAGATGCAAAAAAGTCTGACAACTCGACTCCTGCGCAGAAGGCGAGTCGTTTACTTGCCTTTCTTCGCGGGCTCGGCGGCCTTCGACTTGGCGGTGCCGCGGAACTACAAGCGTTGCAAATATGAGCGGAAGGATGGAGTACGATGAGTAAAGATACACACCTTCTTCGAACGGTTCTTGCGCTCCTTCCGCAACTTGCGCGACGCCTTCTCAATCTTAGGTGCAAGACCTTTCTACAGATAGACGTGAATATTGTACAATCAAAGACGATATCCAGGGAAGACGTACGCGGACAAGGCGGTACCTGGGCTCAAAGCGCTTCTGCGACGCCTCGTCGTCATAGATCAACGCAAAACCAGTGCTGCGACCTCCACCAAAGTGTGTCCGGAAGCCGAAGGGAACGACACGGCCGGCATCGGTCTTGTAGATGCCCGCGAGCTTCTCGGCGAGATCGTCCTTGGAGACGTTGGCGCGGTTGGGGTGGAGAACGTCGACGACGAACTGGCGGCGGGCCAGCAGCCTGTTCGTGATGAACTTGCGCGTCCGGATCGTGACGGGTGCCGAGTTGTCAGCCTAGCGAGGCGTATTCAGTATTTTTTCAGAGTCGTGCGAGCGAGCGCCCGCGACATCCGACAGCCCGCCTTCCAATCCAGCCCGTTCCAACCGTTCCAACCGTTCTCTTCACACAACCATCCATCCAGCGGCACCACGGCGGGCAGTCGGGCAGCGTAGAGGCAAATTCGTACCATTTTGGGGGGAGTGGGGAGCGATGGTCGTCGGGAGACGGAGTTGGCGGGCGATGCGCTCGAAAGGCCGCGTGGCGCGTGGCCTCGCGGCCTCGGCCCGCGCTCGGATCCTCTGATTCTATCCGTCATGTCGAACAACTTCGCCACATTCGCCCCTTACGTGCGCTGCCACCGTCATAATATCGTGCATATATTCTGACTGTTTCTCGCTACTTCTTAGGCGCCACCACCTGACGAACAGCCGGCAGAGCAATCCAAGCCGTCGACATCGCGTTTCGCTCGTCCCTGGTTCCCTACGCAGCAGTCCTCGACACGGGAGATCCAGTCCTACCAGTCCGGTGGCGTGCCAATATGGGACTCTGGCGCGGCGACGGGCTTCGGCTCTGAGGAAATTGCCGCAGCGGCGGAGGAGGGCTCGCCGTCTGCTAACTGGGAGACAAGGTTCGGCTACCGTGTAGATGTCCTGGCGGCGTTTGCCTACGTCCTTGGGCCCGTGTCAGGTAGAATGTGCGTTCTTGTACGCGCAAGAGCGATGTTGATAAGCGCATCCAAGCTTTCCTGCTACTGATATTCGAGACATCCAATGACTACGTTCGCTTTCACGGTGCGTATCGCCATCTTACACCGGAGCGCTGTCTGAACGTCATCGTCAGCCTATCAGTCAGCTCTATTCACGACACCGCTGGTACTCATGCGCATCATGGCTACTATCCTTGGATTTTGGGCATGGTTGAGATTTCTCTTGACCTTGATATGTGTCGTACCTCCCTTGTACATGGCGTGCGTCTGCATGGCATTGATAGCTGGTCTGGCTACTAACACACGACGGCAGGTACCAGGCTTTCATTGATGCGTCGAGGAACGGTCTCGCTCGCTATCATATACCCTTCGTTGGTGACCTCGCAGAACAATGGCTGGAGGACGAGTAGTAGTATGTTACCTCCGACTATATCTTTATTGACGCTTCATCATCGCGTTTGGACATTGCAACCACACTGCCTGAGCGCAAAGAGTTCACACTGGACCAGTGCCGAGCTCAGCATCTTGATCACTCCCAAGATGACGAAGTGCACCATGAATTCACCATAGACGCGTTAAGTAATACTCGTCTGGCATTGGCAGATGGTCTGCTCTGTCAATGATGTGAGACACATCGGAATATCGGCACTCTGCCTAGCCTGATATGCGGTGTGCTTCCTCGATTGCATGCACTCACTGGATGGACCGCCGGTCGGTCGAGGGGTCGAGGCACGAGGCTCTGAGACCGCACCTACGCCCAGCCGAGCGCGGGGCGTAAGTTTCCTGTGCGGCCTTACCTTCCGACCCCCGCCGCCGCTTTTTGTGCTCGGTCTTCGCGTACCCTACGACCTCGTCTAATTTTTCCCGTCTCCGTAGCATTGCCCTCTCCCATCCCGCCCATGTATCCGCCGCGTCCGCATGATCGGCTACCGCCAACGTTCACCAACCCGCCGCTGGGAGCAAGAAACCCCGCGAGCAGGCGAAGCTGGATGCTAGATGTACTCACTCTACGGAATTGAAATGGCGAGTGAGGAGTCGGAGCAGAAATATCCATTATGCATGAGATATACAATGATGGTTATGGTAGTCCCAACGTGTAAATCGAAAATGTAGTCCATGGAACCAGAGAGAGCGTGGTAGATAAGGATAGACAAGGTTAAAGAGACAGAGTCCCAAGGAACCACCTTTTGGAGATCAAGTCCGTGAGAGAAGAGGGAGAAGAAAATTAGTCCTTCGCGAAGGCGCGTCCCGAGCTCAGAGTTGCTCGCAGGTGTTCTTGGCAGTCAGCTTGTATCCAGCCTGGCAAGAATAGACTGGGAAAAAGTCAGCAGATATTTCCAGCGAGGCATGCAGCGGTTCACGTACCCTTGCAAGAGCCCTTCTCACAACCAACATTCCACGAGCCCTCAATTGCAGTGCAATCAAATTCGGGGCTTGTCGAAGAGCAACCACCGCACGACTGAACGTCCTGGGCAGTGTCGACACACTCATAGTCGGAGCTGAGACCGAAGAGACCCTTGACAGAGCAAGCTTCGAGACCGGCGGGGCACAGAGTCGCCGTGCGCTTCTTCTTATGACGCTTGCTGTAGTGGCCACTGGGCTGAGGACCCGAGGGCTTGCAGCACTGGTCCTTCCAACTGTTTCCGGGGGGGCAGGTTGGCGTCGGAGGCGACGGCTTGCTAGGAACACAACAGCCCTGGTCGTGGTGCCACCACCAAGTGGAAGGGCAAGACTGGCCCGGCGGGGGAGAGGGCGGGTTGGGCTTGCCACCATGAGGAATACAGCATTGACCCTTGAGACCCCACCATCTAAATAATTTGTTAGCATACTATATCATATGCTCAGGCCGGGATAACGTACGAGAACTCATTGTCGCCGCAAGTGCCGGTCGAGGAGGGCGGTTTGGAAGTGGTCGTGGGAGTACCACCATTGGGCGAGCACCACCAGTTGCTCCAGAAATGACCCGACGGGCACGAAGGCTGAGGAGGTGACGGCTTATTGGGTACACAGCAGCCCTGACCTTCGTGCCACCACCATGTGGATGGGCACGACTGATTGGGCGGGGGTGAAGGCGGGTTGGGATGGCCGCCATGGGGCAAGCAGCACTCACCCTTGAGGCCAAGCCATCTACATCATGTTAGTGGGCACACGGAGTGCATACAGAAAGGTCACATACGAGAACTCATTTTGACCGCAAGAACTTGTCGACGAAGCGGATGGAGACGTGGCAGTGAGAGTACCGGTCTTCACGGGAGTAGTGGCGGGAGACGTCGAGACACCGCCGGTGGGCTTGCAGCACTGATCCTTCCAGCTCTGGCCAGCCGGGCACGAGGGAGTCGGGGGAGAAGGCTTGCTAGGAACGCAGCAACCTTGATCCTGGTGCCACCACCAAGTGGACGGGCATGAAGAGCCAGCAGGTGGCGAAGGTGGGTTCGGCTTTCCACCGTGGGGAATGCAACACTCGCCCTTCAGACCGAGCCACGAGAACTCGTTCTGGCCGCAAGTACCAGTCGAGGAAGAGGGCGGAGAAGTGGTCGTGCCAGTGCCGGTGGTTTTGACTGGAGACGTCGCAGCCGGGGAGGTGGAAGCGCCCCCGGTGGGCTTGCAACATTGGTCCTTCCAGCTCTGGCCAGTTGGGCACGAAGGCGTCGGAGGCGAGGGTTTGCTTGGCACACAGCATCCCTGGTCCTGGTGCCACCACCAAGTAGAGGGGCACGACGAGCCGGCAGGGGGAGAAGGAGGATTAGGCTGACCGCCGTGAGGTAAACAGCAGTCACCCTTCAAACCGGTCCAACTGACGATTTAATTCATGCGTAAGCTACTGCGGGAGAGTTATGGATCACAATCAGGTACGTACGCGAATTCGTTAGAGGAACAGATCGAGGCCGAGGAGGTGGAAGGAGGTGGAGCGGCAGACGTAGTGGCCACCTTGGAAGTAGTCGCAGCCGGTTTGGTTGAAGCGGGACCGGACGGCTTCGTACAACACAGTGCGTTCGAGTCCCAGGACTGGCCATTCGCGCAAGGGGTTGAACCAGATGCACCAGGAGATTGAGGCGTGCAGTGGTTAGCTTTAGTGTTCCAGAACCAGGAGTCCGGGCAAGACTTTCCGGTGCTATCCGAGCGTGAGTAGGTGTCACTACTCGTCAGAAGGAACATAACTCACGGAGCGGCTCCCTTACAATCCTTGTTGCCGTTGATATCGAGGTCAATGCAGAACCCAAGGAAGTCAAACTGAGAGTCGGTCTTGCAGCTAGCGTTGGAGGTGGCCACGGCCAAAGGAAGGACAGATGCCGTGAGGGCAAGGAGAGAAAGGAGCCTGGTCATCGCGAGCGGAGTCGCTGAGAACGACAGACTAGCGAGTACTCAGACGGGACGGGAAATGGCAGACGGAAAAGGGAACCTTGCCGGACGCGATCTTTGTGCCGTGTTTATATACCGTCCAGGCCACCCTAGCCATCACCAGATGAGATGAGCGCCGGGAAGTTTACAGCGTCAAAACAGCTTCGCCGCGGCCGGGCACCATCCCGATCCTGTTTCCTTAACGTTCCTTCCCATTATCCATGAAACGCGTAGATAGCTTCTGGACGCAAGGCTGTTCAGCTTACATCCCTAGTACAAGCGGGAGTCAGATGGGGTGCGAAGATGGATGAACTTCGGGAGCTCACACCCAAGCGGACACGAACCACCTTGGGCCAAAGTTCAGAACGTACGGGCGGGACGCAACGCGCCGCGCTACGTCCGCTCAAGTCATCAACGTACGGACCTTTCGCAAGCTTCCCCGGCCGTACATGGCAACGCCAACACATAGCTTTTGACGAACACGGTGATGATCTATTCGCCCCGCACTATTCATCCTTTTCCATAGAAGGCACAAGCCGTGTCGGCAGACGTCGGCAGCGTGTAGCATGCGGCGAGGTACGCCCGCGAGCCTCTTGATACCGTCGTGGTCAATTCCGTCGCTGACGGTCCGAGCTTATCATCCAGCCGCTGCTTGATATTTTATTCCATGAATCGGACCAATGTCCAGCGCAATGGAGAGGCATTCCTGTCATCCAAAGTTGGCTGAATTCTAATCAAACGGGCAGCGCTCGCACGTGCGGTGTTGTGCATCGAGAAGCACTTGGCATACATAGTCATGCATGATTACTCTGATGGTAATCCATGAGTGGCTTCGATACCGTACCGTACGAACCGCTCGCGCTTGCGATCCAGGCTTCTCATCCGCATAATCCGCGTGTATGGGCTCAATAGAGAGCAGCCTGACACGCGACAACGTGTCAAATCAAGGGAGGCAAAGGGGTACGAACGACCCGTCATACTTGTGCCCCACGTAGCCTTCACGTTGCCCGCTTCATCAAGATGCGACGATCGTCATAGTGGCCCTTCCGGACACAATGGGGTCACGTGTGAACGACAGGATACCAGCTCACCGCCTGCATGATATAGACATGAAACTTCTCTTCATTGCTTTTCCTTCTCGACACTGTACTATAGTCCGCCAAGTGAAATACTATAATCATCCTTGAACGCTGAACCTATCAACTCAGTAAGCAGCGGGATCAACGATGCGGATCAAGGAGCGTACGCTGTCCTCATAATCTACACTCAGGCCGGAACGCGTGCGAGAGCATGTGCGGCGTAGTAGCGTACGTCCGCGTCCGAGTCCGCTTTAAGCTCCTCGAGCACGGGCACGACCTTCTCCGCGATGAGCGCCTTGCCTTCTGGGGTGGCGCCATACGTAACAGCAAGGACCTCCATTGATTTTGCGACGTTGAAACGGATGTTCGGGATAGTGTCCGTAGCGAGGTGAAGAAGCGCCTCGAGAATCTCGTTCTGTATGATCTCTAAGTTGAGAGACGGAGCGATGGTCTGCATGACATCAGCTTCCAGATGAGGAGATCACGGGGAACAGATGCACGTACACCAATGGCCTGCACGGTGGTCATGCGGTAGAGGTAATTCGGGTGCGCTCCCATGTTTACCACCTTCGGCACAATAGCCGTGCGAGCCCACTCAACGCCGAAGACATCAGTCAACTTCTTCAGATTGACGGTAGCGGCTTCTCGGATGCTATACACCGTGTCACCCAACCAAGACATGCAAAGATTGGCGAGTTGCTCGTCGAAGAACGGCTTGCCGAGCTGCGTCGCGAGGAGCGGGATGTACTCGATAATCGCCTGGCGGACTCGCCATGCCTTGTCCTCTGCCAGCTCGACGATCGCTGGAAGCAGGCTCTCGGCCAGAAGTTGAATGCCGATGACTTGAATCGCGTGTGAGTTATTGTCAATAGATGTTTAATGCGCGGCACGAACCATCGTTGACCTGATCGAGTTTGCTGATGATGTTTAAGCGAACTTCTGGGAACTCATCCTTCAATAGGTGGAGGAACAGCTGGAGGAGGTGTTCGATCGTCGCATCTTTGCCGAGTAGAGGTGCAAGGCCAGTGATCTGATTCGCAAGCGCCGCCCGGACGTGCTGAGACTGGTCCTGGCAGAGGTCACGGACGAAGGGGATCATGCGAGCGATGATGACCTCCTTCTCGAGCGCCTTGCAAAACCCTAAGTGTATTATTTGTATTGATGATCACGCTCAACGAAAGATGGGCCGCACCTGGAATTTGACCCGCAGCTGCTGTCCGAACTTCTGCCTCGTTATCTTTGAGGAGAGCCACAAAATGCGCCACGAGCTCCTCCCTGACAAACTCTTGCCCAACAGCGTCGGAAAGCTAGCTTGCATTGAGAGTAGGCCCTAAGTAGAGGTAGAGACAGTACGTTACCTCGTTAAAATGGCTGGCAGCCATGTAACGGACGCGCCAACTCTTATCCGTCATGGTTTGGCGGATCTGTTTCAATAGTTGCTCGTGCACCTCGGCCGGGGTGAGTTGCTGGGCGATCGCCACGAGATCCTCGACCGTCAGCAGGCGCACAGAGTCCTGATCGTCAGATTGGAGGCGACGATAGATTGAAAGACCGTCACTGAGGACGTGCGGCTTGGACAGATCTTTGACAAGAGCCTATGGGCGCGTGAGCAAGATTCAATTGATGGCTAATATCACGCGTACACCGAGCCATTTTGCCGCTGCCCTGCGAACCATGGGCGTATCGTCCGCGGCGAGCGCACTATATCCCTTCCTCAAAGCATCCTGGATGGTAGTGGAGACCTTGGCGTAGACGGGAGCGTAGAGGGCGGCAGACGACGTGCGGGAGGTGAACCATTCGCCACGGGACAAACGCTCGAGAAGGGGAATATAGTACTGTTCGATCTGCTGTTGGCTCAAGACGGCGGCAACCTTAGTTATGGACTCGGCGGCCTAGGATTCGATGCCATGAGTTGGTGACGAATATCGGATGCGAACCTCGAGGCAGCCCACCTTGTCGCGAACGAGCGTCTCCTCCACCGCCGACAGGTTCTCCAACGGCCCCAGCAGCACGTGAGCGTACTCCGGTCCGCCCACATATTCTTCAAAGTTCTTGCCCAGCTCATCTGCCAGCGCAAGAAGGACCTCGTCCTCGTCGTCTACGGAGTCTTGCAGAAAGGGTATAAGTTCGTCGCGTGCGCGATCGGGGCCAAGGGCTAGCGCGATGGTGGATACGCGGTGAATGGCGTTCAACCGGAGTTGCACGTCCTCGGACCGCAGCTCATCCATGAGCAACGCAATTGGTCCAATCTTGGCCGGATATTGGTCAACGAGCGACGTGAGACAGCTCATGTATCGCACCTCGTCTGTACCGACCGGATCCATGGTGGCGATTCTTGTTATTGACCTATGGCATACAATAATCTCAACGACGAGATCGCTCCAACATTCGTCTCTGCATACCGTACGGAGTCGTGAGTTTTGTAGATCTAGTGTGGCGTTTCGACTCGGGCACGAGATGGGCGCAGGGAAATGAGAGATGAGAGGCCTGCCCTGACGCGCTCCTTGGTTCTGTTCAGGCCCACCACGCGCGTGCGCCCATGCACGCGGCTACATATATTCTCATTCTCTCACTTCGACAGCGCTGTAACGCGTCGCTTTACTGAACGTCGGATATGTCGTACATGCGTGTGACCTTTTATCACGGGCTGTATACTTCCCCACTCTTCTTCGGCGCCAGTTCTCTCCAAAACCCAACTCCGGAGCGGTTAGCGTCGCAGGCAAATGTGAAATGTTCAGCTCTGCACAGACGCTTTTCGTCCTATCCCAGCCCGCGCTATCCTGCAGCAAAGTAGTACCCCCCATGAGCGCCTACTCTCGTGACAAGATGGGTGCACGTTGGGCGGCAACAAGAAGCGATGAAGCTGCCAGCGATCAGTGTGCGAAACCATCACCCGCGATGAGCCACCCGATGACGCCGGCCCGCGCAGTATATCTGCTTGGAAGCCAACTACTGACAGGCTTGCCAGCAATCCACGACGATCTCGAGAGCCCGTATCCATACCATCGTTTAACTCTCCAGCATGCCGGTAACCCATGCCGAGGATAGGATCATGCTGAAGAACCACTGGGTGGGTTCTCCTCCTGATGTTGAATGTCACTGTCCTCATCGCGCTCCCGTAGGGCGCTACCGCAGATATCTTACTCTACGGTGCGACAGTCATCTCCTGGAAGTCCCCCGATGTAGACTCGTCCATACCGGAGGAAAGGCTCTTTACATCGTCTAAGGCCCTGCTCGATGGCTCGAAACCCGTTCGCGGCGGGATCCCTATCGTCTTTCCGTGCTTCGGCCCTCCTGAACATCCTGATCACCAGAAGCTGTCTCAAGTGAGAGACGTCGAGACTCGTTCTACTTCGCTCTGACAGAGTTAATCAGCATGGTTTCGCGCGCAGCGAAGTGTGGAACTTTGACAGCATTGTGATGGATAACGAAGCAGGCGTGTCTGTTCGACTCAGTGCGTTCCTGCAACGCTTGACTTGGACACTCGTTGAGCTTCCATGATTAGCGCTTACCCCTCGCCCAAGCATCACCGCAGTTTACAACAAGCCCTTCGAGTTGGCATACGTCGTAACCCTCTCCAGACACCAATTGAGCACTGACCTTCACGTAACTAATCCTTCGGATAACGAACCCCTCGAGTTCCAGGCGCTCCTCCACAACTATATCCGTGGACCGGCCAAGAACCTCTCCGTTCACCCTCTCGAGGGAAAGCGCTACACGGACAAGGTTGATAAAGCGGTTAAGGAGGAGACCCGTGAGGCCGTAGACGTCAGAACTTTCACGGATTCGGTCTACGAGGACACAGACGACGAGATCAGGGTTACCTGGGGCAGTCGTGGTATCGTGCTCAACAAGACGAACTTCCCCACGCTGACGGTCTGGAACCCATCCTCAGAGGCCGGCAGAAAGCTCGCTGACATGGAGGACGGCGGCTGGCGAGTAGATTGTATATTTTTATCAAGGGCCGTTTCTGACTCGATCTGCAGGGAGAGGTTTGTGTGCGTTGAGCCTGGTTATGTCAAGGGTTTCAAGAAGATCGCTCCCAAGGAGCGCTGGATCGGACAGCAAACTATGACCGTCCTCTGACTCCAATCTGAAGCTGCAAAGATGTAATGAGCATGTGTGCTTAGTGATATCTTGTACTTGTAGCGCTGTCATGTAGCCTCATAACGTCACGAGACTCAAACGTACTCTGGAGGTTCTTAGTTCAGGAGGTCGATTCACGACAGTCGTGTGTGCGGGATTTTTCCTGTCACAGAATTGAAGGCATGTGCGAAATGCGCATTGTCCTCGATATGTGTACCACTTTTGCGATCGAAATCACCTCTCGAGGGCCACTAGTAGAGGTACTCAATTCACATGCATCTCATGTGATCGTGTCGCGACGCGTTGAGTTCCGCGACGCGTCGACACCCGACGCGCCTTGTACTTCAACCACCACATGTCTACTGCGATAAATGGAACAACCGGGCTCAGTTCTTAGTGTTCGACTCACTCAGATCGACTCTCATGTTTCCCACTCGGGTACACTTGATAGCACCCCACTTCTTCGAGCCCCGGTTATCCGCATCTTTGGCAAGGCCTCGACAGGAGCCAATTGTTGTCTTCACTTGCATCAGATATATCCCTATTTCTATGTGGAGTATACAGAAGACATGAGCCCGGAATGCGGTGTGTGACATATGATTATTACTCGATGTAGTCTCTCATCGCACGCTCCAGTCAAGCAATACATCTCCCGGCTCAGTCGGGCTCTTGACCACGCTATTGCGATATCCTTAAAACGCGATCCAACGGCGCCAACGTCTCGCTACGTTCGTTCCGCGGTACTAGTCAAGGGTGTTCACTTCTACGGCTATCACCACTCGTACTCGCCCTTTCTCAAGATCCACATAGTCGACCCGACCATTGTCAGTCGAGCGGTGGCCATCCTTCAGTCAGGATCAGTCATGGCGACACGATTTCACACGTTTGAGAGCCATATCAACTATATCTTGCAGTTCTTATGCGACTTCGGACTGTACGGATGCGGCTGGATAGACTTGTCAGAAGTATGCATACGGACCGCAGATGATACTTCGCCGTCCACACCTTTCCGAACCTCCCCTTACTTCCGTCAGACGCGAATGAGCTTGGAACTTGATGCTATTGCTCCCCATATCATGAATCGAAACAATCTTAGTGGTCGCAAGATTCACCACACATTCAAGATCCCCGCCGATCCTCTTCCTTCAGATCCATTTGTGCAAAGCGTGCGGGAGCTTTGGGATGACGAGCGTCAGCGACGCGCCGCTGCTGGGCTACCTGCAAGCCCCCCGACCCCTCTAGATCCTAGTCGTGACTCCCGTGGCGAAGGCGGGGGCTGGGCAGCTGAAGCTCGCTACTGGGACGACATTCGCGCGCGTATCCAGGGAGAAGGCGATAGCAACTATCAACCGAAGGATGTTGCGTGGTCCATCTGGCTGATGACTACCTTCGAAAGCGTCGAGGCCGTCTGGTCCGACGAGCATAAGACGTGGCGGCCGGATCCTGACCCTGCCCAAGGGACCCAGCCGCGTGTTAACCCGTACGAAACTGTCGCGGGAATCAGCCAACACCTTGCTCCCGACTTTGACAAGCCGCCTGGGCAGGACGTCGACACGACACTACTATCTAGTCAGGATATGTCGCTTCTGATTGAGCAAGAAGAAGCCGAGTATGATCGTGCTCTGGTGCCATTTGATCTTGACGACAGGGAAGATGAAGAGGATGGTGACGAGTTTGCGGACGACTATGCTACTGCGCCACCCTCTCAGCCCCATGCATCCCAGTGAGCCTTGCTGCGACACAATGCCATACCTGGCGACTGAGATAATCGTACGCAGGCACTCCCCGATCATGGCTGGCACTCCGCGGACGCCTCGAAGGCGAATCAATGCCTCGCCTCGCCGAACGACCATGTCGACTAAGACTCGTGAAAGAGTCAGTCGCTTCACCGATGCCTTTCGTCGAGTTGCGGGGTACGGGTTTCTCTCCACGCGCTGACTTTGTACTGACGTTGGTATGTGCTAGCCCTGGATTTCATGGTTCCCCGTCGGTGGCGGATGGATACCCATCCCCGATAACGTACACGGGCCCTTGACACTTACAGTAGAATCTGGCTCATTCCGTCTTTCCTAGGACCCCTCATAGTCGTGACGACGAGGCGACACCCACGGCTATCATCCGTTCCGACGACGCCCCGGCCTTCACGTCTTATATGTTGCCTGATGCCATCGAAGTGCATGAAGAAAACGTTGGCTTATGGCAGGCTCTCAGCTCTGCTCATAAAAGAAAGTGTGTCCATCATTACACGTCTTGCGAGTTCTCCTCAAACAGGTTGCCCATAGACTTCTGCGGTTTGCTCCTGATGACGACTCGGATCAACTCTTCTTTCTTCAAGATGAATCATCTTCCAGATCTACTCATCTCGCGCAAGGGCCCGGGAGGCCAAGGAAAAGAATGCGGTTCAACGAAGACAGCATGGCCGTCCAGGCGCCTTCATTCATCAATGAAGCGCGTAAACGCCGGATACGGCATACGCAGCGTCCGCAGGAGTCCATGGCGTTAGCCAACCGATATTCCATGAACACCTACACATACGCACACCATCCGCCCTCTATCGCAGAGCTTGTCGCCTCTATGTCCACACGTAAAGTACCAGAGAAGCTCTACCGGGAACCTTATTATTCGAAGGCCGAAGACGCCAGTGAACGCCCGTGGGAGTTCGCCGGACTCACCTATCATCTCAAAGGTGGCAACGGTCTCAACACCCTAGGCGACTGGAACGGGTCTACAGGAGCTTCACAAAATGACACCGACCCCTTTCGTGCCTTTCTTTACGATGACGGCGTAAGTGGCTGGGAGTATGCACCCCTCCCACCTTCATCGCGAGAGGTCGAGAGATGGCTGTCCAAGGAGAGTTCCTCGTCAACGTCCACCAGGCCTTCATCCGCTCAGTCCCAGGTGCGTACTCACGATGGCATGAGCATTACTTGTGCTGAGTTGGCACAGATTGACGGCCCTACCCTTCACGCATATGGACTCAAGCATACCCCAAACATCAACGTAGGGAAGAGTATACGTGATAAACAACCTATGACAGTATTCGCCTTGGAAATATTTGGTCCGTGTATCTCAACTCACCTCCTGAGAGGCCCCTCATCAGATAACAGCGCCTTCTCGGGAATCACTTGTTCCTAACCCTGATGTAGACCGGGCTGCCGCTGCTTTCTGGTCATTTCAGTCCGACGAGTCTGTGGAACCGTCCTCCTATAGCAGAGGCGCTTTCTGGACTAGCGATGTCTTGACGCCTGTAGACAGGCTAGGTGATCCCCATCTAATGTCGGTCTCTGACGAGCTTGAGCTCTTGAACTCGATCATCGATCTAGTGCTAGAGTTGGACCCTGACATGGTAGTCGGTTGGGAGATTCAAGCCTCATCATGGGGTTTTTTGAATGCTCGGGCACTTTCATATGGTAAGAGCTCCTTCTAAGATAACCCATGGAACTAACAATGCTAGGGATGGATCTCGGCGGGGAGATATCACGCGCACCAGGTAGGACCACAACAGGCGGCGTTGATCGCTGGGGGGAGCGCAAGACATCCACGTTCCGTGTTGTCGGCCGGTGAGATCCGCGTCCTCCGAAATTCCCATGCGAACACTGATTAAAAGCAGCCACGTCCTGAATGTATGGCGTATCATGCGAACAGAGTTGACACTGCCATCTTACACCTTCGAGAATACAGCCTTTCATCTATTGCAACGACGGCGAGTGGCCGACTATCATATACGGACATGCTTCTGGCTTCTGACTTTTTTGAATAGATCGCCGAAATATGATCCGTCGGTCCTCACGGAATGGTACAAGAGTGGAAATGTCTCGCATAACGTCGCACTCGTTCGGCATATGTCTAGGAAGACCGCGCTGGTCCTCGAGATGCTCGAGGCCGCGGAAATTGTGACCAAGACGGCGTACGAGACTCGTGTGACCAGCAGGCCCAGACCACTCATGCCCCCGCGTAGCGAATTTGCCCGCGTCTTTGGAGTGGACTTTTTCTCTGTCCTGAGTCGTGGGTCTCAATTCAAGGTGTGTTTCTCCATCAGACATGGAAATGGCCTCCGCTGACCTAATATATAGGTCGAGTCCTTCATGTTCCGCATCGCCAAGCCCGAAAGCTTCGTTTTGCTGACGCCAAGCAAGCGCGACGTAAGTCACGGCGTTCTTACCATGATATTTTTCAATCATCATCTTCGTCTGCAGGTCGGGGCTCAGAATGCGGCCGAGTGCATTCCCCTCATCATGGAACCTCTAGCAGCGTTCTATACCAGCCCGCTAGTTGTTCTTGACTTTCAGTCCCTTTACCCATCTGTGATGATCGCCTATAACTACTGTTATTCGACGTGCCTAGGACGACCATTGCCCTTCAAGGGACAGTACAAGCTTGGAGTCACAGAAGTCAAACAGCCTGAGGGTCTTCTTCGGCTCTTGGAGAAGCATATCAATGGTGCGTCAAAGATATTGTGTCGATCGGTCGATCAGTCTGAAGCGTAACATGTAGTTGCGCCCAATGGCATCATGTACGTGCGAGATCACGTTCGGAAGGGGTTGCTCGCGCGCATGCTCACGGAACTGCTGGATACGCGAGTTATGGTGAAACAATCCATGAAGACGTGGAAAACAGACAGGGTAGGAACCGCCCCATCTCCCGAAAGTGAGGACTGATTGTTCTGTCTATAGGCTTTACGACGTGTTCTCAATGCACGACAGCTGGGTCTGAAGGTGCGCTGTGAAGTCCAGATTGTAGCGTACAGCCTTCTCACTTCGCCGCCGTACTTCAAGTACATCGCGAATGTTACCTACGGCTATACCAGCGCATCATTTTCCGGTCGTATGCCGCTCGTCGAGATTGCTGATAGCATAGTGCAAACTGGACGCGAAACCTTGGAAAAGGTTGGCGCACATGTTCAACCAAAGCGGACGCTCCTGATTCAATCTTACAGGCCATAGATCTCATTGAGGCGACGGCTGAATGGGGAGGTCGGGTTGTCTATGGTGATACGGATTCTCTGTTTGTTTACTTGCCCAACAAAACGAAGGAGCAGGCTTTTCGTCTTGGCCACGAGATCGCAGAGGCTGTCACAAAGAGAAATCCGGTTCCTATCAAGCTCAAGTTTGAGAAGGTACGCCCAGTGCGATCCACCGGTGAAAGAGCTCAATTCCATCAGGTGTATCTGCCTTGCGTATTAATGGCTAAGAAACGTTATGTTGGCGCCATGTGGGAGACGCCTGATGTCCAAGAGCCATCTTTCGATGCAAAGGGTATCGAAACTGTCCGAAGAGATGGCATTCCGGCGCAACAGAAAATGGTCGAGACGACTCTGAAGATGCTCTTCAGATCCCAGGATCTCAGCGAGATCAAGACATACTGCCAGCGCTCATGGGAAAAAATAATGGAGAACAGAGTGTCGATTCAAGACTTTACCTTCGCGCGCGAGGTTCGCTTGGGAACGTACAGGTGGGTCCGAGACTCTGTAGTTTGGTGGCCACTAACATGGGGACCAGTGATAAGATACCGCCGCCACCGGGTGCAGCCGTCGCGGCTCAGCGCATGGCTCTTGACCCGTCTAACGAACCGCAATACGGTGAAAGGGTCCCCTACGTCATCGCACAAGGCGAGCTTGGGTCAAGACTCGTTGATCGCGCGGTCGCTCCTGAGGACATGTTAGATTCGAAGTGGGTGTAATATTGGATATTTCGCGCCGGTACTCATATGATGTACGCAGGACAGCCAGGATTGATGGGATGTACTACATCTCCCGCGTACTCATCCCCCCGCTTGAGCGCATATTCAATCTCGTTGGGGCGGATGTCAGAAGTTGGTTCCATGATGTGCCAAGGCCTGTGCACGCTGACGACACCGAACAAGCGGGAACCGCGACGTCGCCAGATAAGCAAGATCCAAGTAGCTCTCAGGATCTGGATAGTACCAAGTTAGAGGCTCATCCGATGAATCGCTGTACCGCATGCGGCGAGGCATGCATAGACCCAGGTGCGTCTTGCCAGTATCATCGGCCGGTAGCAATTTGCTGAATGACCTTCTACTCAGGGATATGCGATGATTGCTTTGCAGACCCTGCGAATACCATGACAGGCGCATTGGGCCGTCGACATGCCGTCGATGAGCGTTTCAAGGCTGTGATGGCCGTGTGTATCTCGTGTGCGCAACTGCCGCACGCGTCAGAAGGCGTGCCATGCGTATCGTTGGACTGCGCGTGGCTTTTCGAACGTACCAAGGCTGAAAGACTTCAGCAGGAGGTTACTGCTCTGGAAGAGCAGATGGAGGAAGGAGGGCTGTCAGTGCGCGTATGAAGTTTGTAACTGCAGCCGTGGCTGTGCGGTTGTGCAATCCCCGAAACACGCGGGAGCTCCTGTTTGTCATCCGTTCCAGCTGCTTGCAAAACGATAGGCCACCGGGGGGTCCTACACACAGAGAGCCGGGCGCCACTTCGCGTCGTCCGCTCACGTGGAAATGACAGGAAGCTCCGTGACGGCTCATCCGGGCTTTAACAACCAAAAGCCCAGCTTTCCTTATGAGGCAGCGGTTTTGGCACGGTATCCTTGTACTGAGGCTGAGCGTCGCACATCGTGACAACCGGTTAATTCGTATGGTACGAAGGACTTGCA